AAAGTGATTTAGCTTCTTACCGCTGATTGCTCTAAGCTAAAAACGGAAGTGAAAGCGGAGGATTTTGAGAATGCAGATGGGGATAGAGTAGAATGCGTGTCCCAAAATGCTTTTCTACAATTTTTCTGCAGGTATTTCACAGTTTCTTCCATTTTTCTTGACCATTGTTTACTGGTTGACTTTTTAGGCTTCTTCCTCTATTAGCTGATCAACGATGGCAGTTTAGACATGGAGCTGCTATTGCAATAGCTAGGACTTTATCTACCTCATATCATCGGTAAGCAAGCAGTCTCTTGATCACATTGGTGTTGCTTCATACAATTTTACAGAATACCTCTTCCTCTGGTCGATGCATGCGCTTTACAATTGCTCCATGTTTTAATACTTGATCAGTTCAATGATTTCGTTTCCGGTAATGTTTTTTTTTTATAGTTTAGAGTTGTAAACTTTTGCTTTTTATGTATTCATCAAAGTATTTTAGTTACATTTCCAAAAATTCTTGTTGAAGCTATTTGTCACATGTCAGTTAAATCTTTCCACTTTCTGCCTTCTTCACTCGTTGGCTTTGTTAGACACACCATCTAGGGCCAGAGTTTAGATTTTCAACTATGCGCTTTTGTTCAGCATATCCATCTACTTTAACATTGCTTGTCTATTAACAATGACAGAATTTAGGTCGCAATGCTACTGCTCCTGTCCGAGAAACATGTGCGCAAGCGCTAGGTCACTTTCTCCATAAAACGGACTTAGTACGGCAAAATACGGTTCTTGTCCATCTTCGAAATCTTTTATCTATGCAGGGCGAGCGGGTTGGTTGCATTTTATTGTTAGGTATGCTTTTTCTATTATATTCCAAACAATTATTTCCAGAATTGGCATTGTCGACAAAGTGCTTTGCTTGTATTTAAATATTTCTTTGCTGTTGCTTCATCCTCAGAAGCTTTCAATGATTGCTTTAAATTGGTGGTCACTAGCTTAAATGATCCCGTTGATGATGTAAGGTTTTCATAGCATTTTTCCTTATTGTTTGTGAAATAGTCATTAAGGTCGTGTCATGCGCGGTCACGACGTTATCATCATTACTATCCAACCCATCAGTGGACGAGAAACGCTCGCATCTCATTCAGCACGTGATGTCAAATGTTTGGCAGTTGTTAGACTTAGAATCGAAGAAGGAGCAGGTTTGACAGGAAACTGGATCAAATCGGTTTGTAATTGAAATGGTGCAACCCTGAACAGCGATTTTAGCTTCGCACTGGTTTGGATGCTCTAGCAGTAGACCTTATAAGTATCGTAGAAACATGGCTACGCTTGCAAGAGAATTCTACTTTAACTAGG